TATCCTGAAATATATTTTTTCCAAGTTATTTAGGAGGGGCAAGTTGATAAAAAAAATCACAAAATATCGATATTTATTGTAACCTGGCAAACACTATCAACATATCAAAGAAAATAATTAAAATTACAATTTAAAATACAAATTCAAATAGTTAAATAAGGATTATGTGATACATTAAACATACTATATTATACTACACATTGCTGTTATTTTCCCCATGTACACAGTAATTTATTTTCACTTTAGAAAAATCAGAAAATTGGATAAATTTAGCATCATGCACAGCATCAGCAGTGCACATATTAAATATCATATACATTATATTAAATCGCCAAGATAAATTAAATGATACACCAAAGTGTATTAAATGACACATATGATGAAATTCCCAAATTTGGCAAGGGTTGGAGATACACACAGCCTTTTATTTACCAGTTAAATAATTAGTTTTAGTTTATATAAAAAACAATATTTTATTTAAGTTTTGGTATTTATCTACATTAGTGAAAAACTTTTTTGAAAACTAATTTATCTTTAACACATACATGCAATCTACACCTCAATGTTATTTTCCAAACTGAAACATTTTACATCATAAGACTTGGCACTTCAAGGACAAAAAATTTTCTTCCACAAAATTAACCACAATGTATAAAGTAACTGAGTTGTCTCGAAATAGTTTTCGGAAGTTGCTTTGCAGAAGAAAACCCGGGTATGAACCCCCTAATTGAAGCTGTTTGCGCTGTCTGTTCATTATCCCATACTCTGCTGAATTAACAGAAACTAAATAAACAGAAAATCTTTTATCTTTCAAAATTTGACAGATGTACCTGAGATTCCTTTAATTTAGATGGCCTTGAAAGTTCCACGAGTTCCAATTCTTCACCATATTCCTTGAGAATGGCAGCTTTATAATGAGATAATCGTTTATGAACAAAATCACCGTTCATTTTCCCATTCACAGTACTCTTGCAAGCATCAAAGGAAGCATTTAATCTTTTGAATATTCGGCAATGTACATTTGAAACTAAACTGAAAGAGCGTGCACATTGTAGAAACGTGCTCGAAGAGCATGTACGAAACGTTTTCGAGACGTTAATCATGTTTGAAATGATGGAGCACATTATATATCGTTAATTCAGTAATTATTAACTACAGCAATTCCCATGAAACATAATCAGAAATAACTTTCACGACTTTTCATTTTGATGTTGCCGCTAAGTTCTTCACCTTCCACAGTGTACAATAACAATAACAAAATGAATATTGCCAATCATTCAAAACAAAATGTACGCAAAGATTTTACGCAATAGATAACAGCGGCACCCATTGTTCTGTAATGGAACAGATCTGATAATCCTAATATTTTCTACACATTACAGATATTATATGCGCATTCATTACAAATAATCTTAGCTACTTTCTGAATCTGAAATTTGTTTATGCAAAATACCCTTAGCAACAATAAAATGCTTAAGAGGGGAGAACATAGACACATAAAAACCATAACCATAGAAATTTTAACAGTACTAGAATATGGTTGTGTATTTTTTAATCTGCAAAAATGTTAATTCTGCTCGAATTAATGGAAGCAGTGTTTTAAATAAGAACTTATGTTTAAGTAATGTTTAAGAGATGAATCAGCCATAATGATTTATAGTTCAGAACTCAGATAGGCCATGTAGTTTACTGTCAAAGCACATGCATATTTTTCAGATTCCTATTTTGCCTAATTTTGCAGATGTGTTTAAAATGTTTCCTATGAGGAAAAGTGTAGTAATTTTTTTGGAAATGTTTAGAACCCACTTTCATATAACTTCTACTTCCACTTCCACTTTATTCACGGCTTCCAACTGCCATTACTTCTGCGTAGGTTCCTGGACGTCTGTGAGAATTTTCGTTGGAATAATCTTATTAAATTAAAAATGCCTGATAGCAAAGAAGAACCAGTATATGGAGGATGTGAAGGCCCAGATGCTATGTATGTTAAACTTATTTCATCCGATGGTCATGAGTTCATAATTAAAAGGGAATATGTGCTTACATCTGGCACCATTAAAGCCATGTTGAGTGGTCCTGGACAATTTTCTGAGAATGAAACGAATGAAGTAAATTTCAGAGAAATACCATCCCACGTCTTACAGAAAGTATGTCAGTATTTTGCTTATAAAGTGCGTTATACAAATAGTTCAACCGAAATACCAGAATTTCCAATTGCACCTGAAATAGCTCTGGAATTGCTAATGGCTGCCAATTTCCTCGATTGTTGATTATTTTTTATGTATGATTGCTCGTTTGTATAGATTTACTGATAAAGTGTCTTCATAAAATGTGTTACGATGCAATGTTCTGTATGATGCCAGGGGCATACCAAATTTTGTGTTTAGTTATGTAAAGAGAACTGTAATAGTTGGTATGATAAACTTCTGCAGACACACAATGCAGCTTCTTAATTGTCAGTAATATTGTGCTCATTCAGCTCATAAAATTGTAAAATCTGCATTACTTCAGTTTTTTAAATTGGAATTTTGATTGTGTTACCTATAATAAAAGCAAGTATGTAAAACAATTTTGGTTTTGTTTTATTATTCATGTAGTGTAAATTTTATATGAAAAATCGCGCATGTTCATTTAGGCTGTATTATTTGCATTTTATTAAACATGCAGTAGATTATTTGATATGTTAAAAGAAACTTAATTAGGGAGGGAGCATTGTCTTTCTTTTCAAAGGGGTTGGATAAATTTACTTGCTAGAAACACAAAGTTTTGTAAATTTTTAATCAAAAATAGAATGATGAAAGTTTAGCAATTAGTTAATAAAAATATTCTCAGACTTTATTAAGATCTAATCTGAAAGGGGGATAAAATGCAAGCTGCATTCAATAAATATGTGTGCTGTTTTGTACTGCAGAGCATTATTGTTTGATGTTTTTTATTTATGCTCCCAAAATCTAGCAACTTGCTTGAATCCATGTTGCAGTGTGAAATTAATTTAACAGTAATATCTATACATGAAAATTTCAAATTCTATGAGACTCACTGTAGCTTGTGTGTTGGGAGGTTCTTCTCAGGGCTGCACAGATCTAATAAAAAAGAAATGAAACATTTCTATGTGTGAGTTTATAGGCGTTTATTAATTGATTTCTAATAACAGAAGGGTATAATTCTATCATAGGGACCATACGAAATTGCAATAAAAATATGCAAAAGTCCCAAATTAAGCAGATGTGCTTATTTAAGATCACTTAAATAAACATAGTAAATATGTCTCCTTATAATTATACAAAAATTTAGATAGTTCTGCATTCGCATTCAAATATTGGTTTTGGTTAATCTTTGGATTATGGTAACTTGGCAATTTTTTTGGCGACCAACCCTGCTACAGCAACCTGTTAGTTTTTGTTTTCACAAAGTAAAGGCTTTTTTTTTTCCAACAATCTGCTAGCCGAATTACACTTATGCTAGAACTTTTATGGAACAAAAGTGCTTAATCATGACGAAGATTAGGGGGCGAAATGGAGAATTGCAGAAATTTGCAAAACGCTTGCCGTGTTTAAGGATTCAATACAAGGTAATCCAGTACAAACGACCTATTTTCACTAAAAACCATCTTGAATGCACAAAAAATGGCATTGTGCACTCCCTTTATCCATGTACACATTGACCTATTTTCACTTAAAAAGTCAAAGAAAATTGAAAAAAATCCAATTCTTCTTACTCTTGTAAAAAGCGCCAAATAAGTGGGCGATTCTGTACTTTAGCCAAAAAAATGGAATTGTACAAACTTGGCATTGCACACTCCCTTGACTTGCCAATAAATAAAACAACAGGTAAAAGTTTAGTTTAGGGTACTCCTTGGCGATTTTGGGCAGTACTGGATATCGAGTTGTGCAATTCTTTGACTCTAACCAAATCAAGAAAAAGAATTGCACAAACTCGGTATCCATGTACACATTGACCTATTTTCACTTCAAAAAAATCCCCGAGTTGCACAATAATGGCATTGTGCACTCCTTAGACTTTATCCATGTACATGTCGACCTATTTTCACTTAAAAAATTGCACAGACTTGTAGTGCACACTCCCTTTACTTTGTCCATGTATACATCGATATATTTTCACTTAAAAAGTCAAAGGAGCACCCAATTCCACAATATAGGTAAACAAAAAATAACATTAAAAACGAAAAACATATGCATTTAAGCACTACCAAAAGCAAATATTCACTTACTCTAGAAGGTCTTTAGTCTGTGGTACACAAAATTCCTTAACAGCATCCTAAAATTATCTGAATTCGAATACGTATATCGCCGTCGCCACGTAAATTCACAAATATAAGAGTCAAAAATATCCTGCGTAGTTCCCGACTGTCTGACACTTTTTTCGAAAATCTCTCTTCACCACACTTTCGTCTTGATGATTTTCAAGTTCTCTTTTTACACCCAGAGCCACGTAAAAATCAAAATATCAATCATACTCAAATGACTTTTTTTCAAACCAGGTACCCTGTCTGATCGAACGCTTCACGTAGTGACCATCTGAATTCTTCATACAAATCCAACTAAATGGTTTTTACGTTCGACTAGACGTCCTTCCTACATACAGGACACTTGTAATGGCTACTAAGTAGACCTTTATTTACACACCACTCAATTAACGCTCTTTTCCCCTTTCGTTCCAAATCATACAGAAACTTCAAATAGATCTTAGTACATTCAGCCATTCCAATCAAACCAAGACACACCACAAAAACGCTTACAAAACACCCCAGAACCATGCACCCGATTGTGTCACAATAGTGTTTCCATAACATTCAACTACTCAGGCTACCATAAATGAAACAACAACTTAGGTACCTTAAAGTCCACTCTAACCAAACAACAGCTTTGCGATAATACAAGGGGTACCCTTCAGTTTAACCACAATTTTTGTGAAAAGATTTGTTGTTTAATGTTTTTATGTTAGGAAATATGTATTTTTGGTTATTTGTTCGTCTGTGTTTGTTAAGACAGTGGCGAATTTTTTCTGGTTATCATGATAATTTAAACTTCGTTTTAGCTTCTTGATTTTGTTTAAGTGAAAATAGATTTACATGTACATGGACAAAGTTAAGGCAGTGCAAAATGCCTAGTTTGTGCAATTCTCTGATTTTTTTTTTAAATAGGTTGATGTGTACATGGACACCGAGTTTGTGTGAAGTCCCAATCACATTATGTTTCAGCTATGCAGGACTTGACATCGAAAGGGACAATTCTCAGAACCCACAGAATTCCAGGAAACACATGTAGCTAGGATACCATTCTCACTTACGGCAAAGACTTGAACGCCAAACAGTAATCGATTATCGCTTAAATCAGGATCACGTGATCCCTCAGAAACAAAACTTTCGTCTGATTGGTTGTCTCTACCCGGGATCCGAGACATTTTTGGTGAGGTTTCAAAAAATTCTGCGTAGTCGCAACATTGCTTCCGTAGATAGGCGGGACTTCGCTTCAGGCGAGGCTCTTTTTTCTAGGAATCCTCCCGTTTAAACCAGTGCTACCAGAATCTCATTTCTCAGCAGGGACTGTAGCCATGTGTGATAAACTCTTAAGTCTTTAACTTCTTATTTTGGTTTCTTGAAATGGCCATATTTTTTTATCGAATTTTTACCGAAAAATTAACACGCAGAGACAAATAAATGAAACATCAGTTTTTTAACATGTCTTTTTTCACATGTATGCGTTTAAAGGCTTCCCACCACTATCTCCTCCATCCTCCGGGTAAGCAATTCATTTAAATTTTATTCGTTTCAGCTTATCCACTGTTAAACAACGTTCATCCTCTTACTCACCTCAGACATACTCAAGTGATGGTACCCACAGCAAAATAATAGCAAGTTCAAAATCCTAGACTATACCACGTACATGCAAGGAAACACAGGGACTGAAAAGAATAGTAAGAACCAAAAACCCGGGTCCATACGAAAGGGTTACTATTTGAAAAAAAGCGCAGCGGTCTTCCAGATTTCACGAACAACCAATACGCTTGGTGATCTTTGGAGGGAAAAAACCAAGGGGTACAATACAGTAAAGATTAGCTGCTAAATTGCACTGTTGTGAGTGGGTTCTTTACTGTAATACACCCAATTATTCAGTTAATAAACAAAATATACATTTTAAAAATGAGAATTTGACATAAATTTAGACTTAGAATCATCAAAAGAATTCAACTCCATGTTTGAAAATGTATTACATGCCATAAAATCTGTTCTCCATGTCATACAGCATTTGCAGTGCAACTATAACATTTTTTATATAAAAAAGTAGCAAAATACAATCGAGATGCCTGCTGCTGTTTTGTCATAGTCTTGGGCTCATTTTCAAATTATGCTTACATATGATGTATGTCCCAGAAGAAAATAAAAAACTTCAAGATAAATTATGTTTAAAATTTGAGTATTGCATTACATAAAGATGACTATAAGTATATTTTTACAATGCAAAATATAAAAAAAAAAAAAAAATCAATGAAAGTTTTTTAGATATAAATCTTAAAATGTGTGATCGTAGGCAAAAATGCCTGTCCCTTTTCAAGTTTTATGTTGTTCAACCTCTTTGTTTTGTAAACTAATTTATTTTTTTAAATAAAAAAATTTAATTATGTTTAATATGAACTATTAGTGTGTTATATTCATGATAAAAATTAATTATAGAACTTTTTTTCTTTAGCAAAGCAATAAAAAAGTAATTATTCTTCCAGTTCATGTTAAGTCCATTACATAGAGATTATTTTACCCAAAATTAGTTTGTAAATCTGTCTAAAAGGAGGAGTACATATTCAGTGACATAGATAAATTAGTCAAGCTAAGTTTGACTATTTTGAATTACTCCCCCTTTAGGCAGATTTACAAACTAATTGGGGGTAAAATAATCTCAAGGTAATGAATGGACTTGACATGAAATAGAAGACAAATTATTTTATTGATTTGCTAAATTTTTATCTAAAAATTTACAATTGATTTTTTTATATTTTAAATTGTAGAAATATATTTATAGTCATTTTATGCAATGTTCAAATTAAATTTTAAATATTTTATCTTGAATTTTCTTTTTTTCTGGGGCAGCATATATAAGCAAAATTTGAAAATGGGCCCTTGACATTTTTGAGTTTTAGTAAAATGTATGAGTAATGGTTAAATCAGTAATTTTGGTACTGTTCCGTTTTGAGGACCGTAAAAAAACTGCAGCAAAAATGTATGCGCAAAAGTGTCAAATCTAGCAAACGCGCCCATTTAACAGCGTGCCAAATCTAGCGTACGTGCTGATTTCAAATTGCGTAAGTTTAGATAGTTTTATATTTCTTCAGATGCCAGTGAAATACTAGTTTTATTTTTAAATCCGTTTTTAATATCCTATGAATTTAACAATTTGGGAATTGCCCATGACGAAAAGTCTGAAATAGAATTTTTTCAAAGAAAAGGCATCATTCATAATAGAAAATTATGTTTGAACAACCAACGAGATGAAATTATTTTTTAGCAATAGCTCTGTAGCGAAATAGTGATGCAGGAATCCATTCACTTATGTT